ACTTTCCTGTTTTGGCCAATTTCTTCTTTAATAGCTCACTGAGGTCAAATGCTGTATGAATTTATCACTGAGGAACAGGGAGGCAACGTAACTACATGTTTTCTGTCTGTGAGTGAGCTAACTAAGCCTCTCCTAGATACCTGAGCCGAGTTTTCTGTGGCAGCAGAAAAGAATATCTGAGAGCCTAGAAGTATGAAAAGTACCGTGGTGGTGTTGTGGTAACAAATTGGATTGCTAAGTGCCATGCCTAGAGTTCAAAACTACCAGCTGCTAGTCCTGTCACGAGCTAGAGTCTTGGACACTCACTGGGGCATTTCTGTCCTATAGGGGTGCTATGAGTTAGCATTGACTCACTGGCATGTGTGTGTGTGTGTGTGTGTGTGTGTGTGTGTGAGAGAGAGAGAGAGAGAGAGACAGACAGACAGAGAAGTATGGAAAGGATTTAATAGGAGGAATGTTTTATATTGCTGGGGTTGAAAGAAACCATGTGCTAATGATCTGTGACTAGTTTTCAAAAGCTAGTTTCCAAAAGATTTTCTCTGGTTCTTACCTGGTAAGCTAAGAGGGATCAAGCCCTTTGACTGTCATGAACTGAATTCTGCTAACTTACACAAGTGTATTAGCAGAACTGCGAGCCTTGACTTTGGGTTGATGAGGCTCTAAGCAGAGAACTCAACTGAAATTGCCAAGGATTTCTTACCTACAGAACTGTGCCATAATAAATAGGCATTATTTTAAGTAGCTAAATACGGTTCTGCAATATAAACTTATTACAAGAACTTAAATTTAAAAATAAGCTGGTAAAATGAACTGTTCAGGATATGGAACAACTTTGATTTTCATTCTGTTGGTAGGAGTGCAAGTTCCTTACAACACATTAGAAAAACTTCTTGGTGCTATCTGCTATAGTGGACTAAGCAAATATATAACTACATCCTGGCATCACTTCCTGTTTATAGCCCCTTTCCCAATAGAAATTCATTCAACAACCACAAATCAACAAACATGTAGAGGAATGTTTATAGATAAAAATGAAAATATCCTAAACTGACAAACAGCGTGTTTGTCTACAATGCTGTTGTTCGTTAGGTGCCATGGAGTCTACGCCAACCCACAGTGACCCTGCCCACATAGAATGGAACACTATTTGGTCCTGTGTCACCCTCAAAATTGTCCCTATGCTTGAGCCCATTGTGGCAGCCACTGTGTTATTCCATCTCGTTGAGG